GCCGCACTATGGCCGTGAGGTCGTCTTAACCTCTAACTGAGATGAGTATCAGGAATCTTCCTGGGGGCAAAGGGCGACCGACGCGTAAGACTGACAACCTCGCCGTCATCTGAGCCGATTGTCTAGAAAATGTGGGAACCTCGACGCGTCACAACCCTATGGGCCCCCACGTCCCGTTACAGGCACAGCTTTTTTCTTTTCCAATGTCTTTTCCAGCCCATTCAGGGCCCTGTCCTCTTATAAGTCCCGTAATCATTTTGCACAGACGGTAGGACTCCTTGAACGGATGATGAGACCTTGCAAGGCCGCTACCTAAACACAGGACAACACAAACAGAATAAACGCGCACACACACACACACACCAAACATCCATGCCTTGAGTGGGATTCGAACCCACGATGCCAGCGTCCGAGCAAGCGAAGAGAGTTCATGCCTTAGAACATACGGCTACTGTGATCGGCACATGCATAGCTTTACCTATTTTTTTTAGAAGAGTTTCAGTCTTTAAAGGGTTAAGTGAACTCCGCGAGTTTCCAGATAGGTTCTTTGCTATTTTGTGCCCCTTCCCAGGTCGCTCATTTAATGCAAATACACGGATAATCGGGAATAGAGTTACGTACTGTTGACGAAATAAACAGACAGTAGAGATAAGTTGTTACGCAGCAAGAAGGCGTAACTTGTTATCCTTGTACGAGTATTTCGTTAAATGCAGCCCTATATTGTATCGAAGAGCGTAACATTTTTTGCCTGCAAAACAAACCTCATTAAAAATGCCCAACTCATTGAAGCAGTTTTTAATCCTATTACTACCAAATTCCATGATCAGCATACATACTAAGATGTAGTAGCGACAACTCAATCATACTGTGGCGTATTGACCAGTTACTACGCGGTAACTCTGTAAACAACCATTTCTGGCCAACGGCTTGGTAAACACGTTCCCCCGGCAACGAATACGCACGCAACAATAGAGTTGCTGTCGGAAACGGGGTGTTTCTACGTGGGTCCGTGCTGAGATGTTATAAGCAAGGGACAAAGTCAATTGTTGGGCATACCATTGCGCCTAACAACTGACTTCGTCCAGTGCTTATGAAGTATAAGAGGCTTAAACTTGGCGGCGGTCAAGCATACGACCGTTCATGTGGCTAGACTGCCGTTGTAGCGGAAGCTGCAAAAAACAGGGCATAATCTACTATACTGAACTTCAACTGACAGAGGCCCTGTATACGAGTATATTGTACCAGTACTCGTATATACATTTATTAACATGTAAAATGTAAATATCCTTTACATTATGACAAATGACTTAATACTGCAGACAGTGACTCTGACAAAAGACAGATCCGTCCTCTCGTCAGAGAGGGCACCCCACAAAAATAAAACCACAATTGTCAAACAGTAATAAATATCTGGACATAAGCCCCAGACTGGGCTTGACACCAAGACTGACTGACCGACCGACCGACCGTCACTCCCAGTGTGACTTTGTTAGGCAGTTCTGGACGGGAGGATCTGAAGATAGAACCTGAGCGCGTGAAGTTGAAAAATATCCAGTGTTAGAAGCCGTTGCCAGGGAACGGCTGGTGAAGACAGCAGGCTGGAAAAGACTTAGCGTGTTCGGTGGTGATTTGTGAATTGTGGAGATTAACGGTAGCGCTGTAATTGCTTCTGTTTCCTAGTCGTGTGTATAAGTGGTCAATAAATTCGATGTCTCTCCATTCTACGTGACAATATACACGTATGTATACAGTTTATTTACTTAATACAGGGTGATTCAGAAGAAAGTTGACGCCTGTATTCAGTTTGATTTTATAGAAATTTGAAACTGCGCCAAAGCTGAAGGCAACGTCAGATCGCTTCAGTAGTACAGGATGATTTTTAAACGAGAACCCAATGTTAGGAATGTTAATAACGTAGTGTATTAGAGAGCCACAGCCATTTTGGCGAAATTCATAGGCACGATGAGCAATGCGTATATTAAACAAAATGGCGTTCAGTTCAGATAAGCGAGTGTTGTTGGCGAAGCGAACACCTCAAAACAGAATCGTATAAAACAACACAGATTGATTACAGCCAACGATTTGGTTGTCCAGCACGAGAAAAATGTGTGATATGGAAGTCTGTGAAACATTCGAGGCAGACACGAACTGTGAATATACCGACACGTGTCCTCCAGTCGAGTATTGTTATAGATATCCACACGGCAGAAGTTAGTGAGAGACTAAGTGCAAGTCTAAGTCATTGCGCAAACTTTGCACAACAAACTGGAATGTCGGACAGGAACTGCCGCAAGGCTGCGAAAGCATTTGCTGTTCTTTCCATGCAGAGTGCATCGTATTCAGCAGCGGTTTCCAGCGGACTGCAGAGAACGATATCATGACTGCGAGTAGTTGCTTGCCAAAGGTGCAGGATGAACCTCGCATGTTAACACATGACTGTTTTCATAGGCAAGGCGTGGTTTCGCTTTACAGGATATGTGAACTCTTGTAGAATTGTCGTGTTATTGTCAACGGAAAAATCCCCACGCACTCCATGGAACTCCCCCTTCTCCCCTATCAGGATTGGTGTGCTGGCATGCTTTTCGTCCCATTTCTTCTTTATAACACACCATTAACTCGAAGCGCTACATAGACACACGCCATGAATGACGCCTTACTGGAGAGGTAATTGCACAAACCATGGGTCCCACCAAGACAGCGCAGTATGTCATATAGTACGGGCGACTATGCGCAAGAAGTAAAGTTGTCCCTGTGCTTAATTAAGCACTACACCATGAAGGTGTATGGGGGAGTGGATGTATAGAACATTTTCTTGACCTCGGCACTAGCTGGAGGGAAGTGGTCAGCTTTACTCTCGGGGAAAGAGGCTCCTCTACCCATTGGATAGGAGGCTGGGTGGACCCCAGAGCCGTTCTGGACGACATAGGGGAGTGAGAATTCTTGACTCGAACTCCGACTCTTCGGTCGTCCAGCCAGCAGTCAGTCGCTATGCTGACTGCGCTATCCCAGCACACAGCTCATCTTGGGAGCTAAGAATAATTTCGAAAGGACTCTAGCTCCAGTGCACGCCAAACATCGGGAGATTTTGTCTTTGGAACTGTACTAAAGACAGTGCCGACCGCAGAAACCCACGCAACATGGATGAACTAGAAACCGGTGTATCCATTGTCATTGCCGACGTTTCAGCCATGCCGCTGTAGGCAGTGCCAGTTCTTCATGCTCAGTGATGTATGCAGCATGATGGCGCACACTTTCAGAACTTTTTGACAGAATATATTGTAAACATTACTTTGAATACAGTACACAAGGCAAATTTGTCCCTGTGCGTAATGGTGGAGTGGAGGTATAGCTCTACAATTCTTGACCTCGGTACTAGACGGAGGTGCGTGGCCTGCTTCGCGCCCCGGCCACTGTGCGTTAGGGGAGAGAGCCCCTGCTACCCACTGGATAGGAGGCTGTATTGGTGTCATAGTTCTTGTTTTAAAAAAATAATCATTCTCCACAAAATGACCCTAGCCGTCTAATACATGACGTAATTTCCATCCCCAACAGTGGGATGTCGTTTTGGAAATCACCCAGTACATCCTCGTATATTGGAGCCTTAACGCTTGTTATTCTGTCCTCATATCTGTTATGGCAGTAGTTACGAATAGGAACAGGAGATTACCTAAGGAATGGCAGTGGGATATATGCTTGAATCGGCATTGGCAGTGCCCCCCTTTGCCGAAAATGTTCACCCCTACGTAATTTTGTCGGTTTCATTGTCATAGTGTCAGTGTAATTTTGCAGAACTTTTTCAGTTCATGGAGTTGGCATTCAGTGAAACTGAAGTATGTAAGAATGGGTCACAGTGATAAACTACGGTGACAGCGCAGAAATATTCCGTTACAATTCTGTGGGTTTTGTGTTAGAGCATGTAATTAGTGGACATGTAGCACAGAATGTATGACGCACTGTTTGCGGAACAAATACGTTACAGATGTTTACAAATCGGTCCCCATATAGGGCTGAGCTTTTTCTTGTTCCCTGTAATTGTATTTCCTTTTGTTTCGAACATGTGGCAGTTAAGTCATTGTTTAAATTGCTTTAGTCAGCAAGGCCTGGGGCACAGACGAGAATTAACCTTTTGAATGAATTTGATATACTGGTTCCAAATCTGGACCCAGGAATTTCCCGCTGTATCACAGTTTCGTGTATTGATTTTTTAGACGAAATTTTAAAACTTCTGTGTCTTTTTCTTGGTGGTGGAATATTTTATGTCACAAATGTGGAAGACTGATGTGTTACTAGCCATTGACTGTTTTTACTCCTTTAAATCACGGCAATTTTAAACTGCTGAATGAGTGGCATATACGCCATGTTTTGTTGACTGAGCTAAATTAATTTGCTAAACCTAGCGTCAAAATTATTACCACTTCTGTTTTGTATTGTGTAAGTAAGGTGAATCTCAGGATTTTGAAATAATTAAACGCGTGGACTTACTTCCTGGAGCACGGTTCTTCTTGAGAATCAGATATTCAATTAACGGGGAAAGAAATCCTGTTTTGAAACAGGATTGTTTTGAGGTCCACTTTATATTATCCTCCTGTCTACCTCAGGGTCTACTAGGAAGTGGTCTGTACTAGTAGGGTTTCCGAATATAATTTTGTATGCATTTCTCATGCGTACTGTGCGCTCTACACGACAGATGCAACTCGTCTTCCTTCACTTGAACGCCAGTACTCAGGAAGGCTGACAGATCAACCGCCATCTGTGAGCCGATTGTGTAGAAAATGTGGAAGCCTCGACGTCTCGCAACCCTATGGGCCTCCACGCCTCTTATATGGATAGCTTTTTTTGTAGCTCAGTGCCTATTTCTATAAGTAGTGCTAGAATGGCAAGTATTAAGTAGCAACCCGTTGCCGAGCCCTTGCTCCACGCTCATGCTCATTGGTGGGCGACTCACGTGACGCGCTTGACTCTCGGTTAGTCACAGGTGAGAGGTGTAACGGATACCAGTGAGCAGTTGCTGTGCTGTGTGGTAACATACGTACGAGTATATCTGTTTATTGTGCAAGACATTGTTTCGAGTGTTGTTCGGCCCCTCAGTGCAGTGTGTTCGTGTTTTATGATGTAATTATTCTTTTATAAAGCGTTTGAACCTGGAAATGTAACACCGCCAAAAGCGAAACTGTAATATTGTTCGTAGGATTAAGGCAAGTTCTTCGTAAGTGGTTTTCAGAAAATGAGACTTCAGTAATGCTGGGATTGGTGATTGACTATTGAATCACCGTATTTGGTAACGGCTTCGGTTCGAGGTACAGAACACGTAAGTACAGTCTTGCTTGACGTTCAGTACAGCAGTTTAGCCTCGTACTCCGTCATGAAATGTTCTGGAAATTTCGATCACCGAAAACAGCAAACGCGAAGGAAAGATCCACGTGTACTTTGCACAAAATTATGTTAGGATGATTAAATATCAAATAGGAAGGTGAGATGGATGGGGCTGTAGCACGGATGCTGGAGAACATGTGTGCAAAGTTTTTGTAAGAAAACCCTAAGGAAAGAGACTGCTTGCAAGACGTTGACCTAGATGAGAGGTTAATATTGAAATGGTCTTGGAAATATTTTGGAAGGTTTCGTTCTTATATTTCTGGCTCAGGATAGGGACCGGTGAAGAGTTCTCGTGAACACGGTTATAAATCTTAGGGATCTGTAAAATTTTGGGAATTTCTTTATTAAGTGAGCATCTTTTAAACTTCATAAGAAAGACTGATGGATATGGTTATAGATTTTGTTCTTTTTTGGTTATTGCTAGTGGGGAGGGACTAAGTCCCTTGTAGTGCGGCCACTTCTGGCCTATTGTACCTGCCCCCAGATGTTAGGTGAGGGTGATTGTGGAGCAATTGGTGGAATGAAGATTGGCAGGGGAAACCGAAGTACTCGTAGAAAACCTGCCCCAGCGCCACTTTGTCCACCACAAATCCCACTTGACCAGACTCGGGATCGAACCCGGACCACCGCGGTGGAAAGCCAGCGACTAACCGCTTGAGCTATGGCGCGGCATATGGTTATAGATAGTTAATGCAAAGTAGCAGATACGTTACGGAATGGCTTTATTTGTACCTTTTTTTTTTGAGTGAAAATGATGCCTCAGTGTGTAGTGCTAAATACAAGTAGTTCAGGTTGTGATCTATTGAGTCATGAGACCGTGTAGTCTTGTATGTTGATACTAACGTTGCGAAGGAAACATGGTGACTGTATCTTCAAGGTCGAGTTAACTGTCAGATTTGGGCGAAAAAAAGTAACGCATATTGTAATGCAGAATTTGTAATGGTGAATGGAGCGTGTTAAATTGTTTCGAGAAATAACAGGCAGTTAAGTAAGGAAGGCCACATTTTTTATATTACAAGCTGTTCCAGTACTTTAGACTAACGAAATTGTGACTAGGTCCATTTTGTTATCACGGGTTCGATTCCCGATGAGCTTATTGGATTTTTCAATTGACCTAATCGTTCAAGCTCCTCTATGGCCCTAGGGTCGACGCAGTGTCTTTAACAGAAGTGAGTACCAGGAATCTTGGAGGGGTAATGGCGGCCGGTGCGTGCTTAAGGTTGACATCCGCACCACCATCTGTGAGCCGATTATCTAGAAAATGTGGGAACCTCGACGGCCTAATACAGAGAGTTTTCTGTTGCTAGTGGGGTGGGACTAAGTCCCTCGTACTGCGGCCACTTCTGGCCTATTGTACCAGCCTCAGATGATAGGTGAGGGTGATTGTGGAGCAATTGATTGAATGAAAATTGGCAGGGGAAACCGAAGTACTGGGAGAAAATTTGCCCCATCGCCACTTTGTCCACCACAAATCCCACTTGACCAGACCCGGGATAGAACCCGGGCCGCCGCGGTAGGAAGCCAGCGGCTAACCACTTGAGCTATGGCGCACCTTAATACAGAGATAGTTTTACTTTTCTTTTTCACCATTTGGATTCCACTCGAGATTAATTCATTTAAATTTATTTTGACTTTATGAACGTCTTGTTTGTGTTGGGTCCAGTGAAGTTACTTCGAGTGCAGTGAGCTGCAGTGTCCACCCGTGTTCTTAGGGATTAACGCCGCTTTTCATGCGAATTTGAAATAGTGCGATATAAAAAGAAACAATAAAACCTCACTTTATGCGCAAAATTTGAAATAATGCGTATTCCCACCACCCTTCAGAAGTCGGCAAGAATCGCGTTACAAAACATGTCTTGAGTCACGCGAGTTTTGACCGTGCCCGACACATTAAATGCGATCGCACTGTTTTTAACTTCCTTCGCAACGAAACATCTGCCTAAATTTGAACAAAACGGAATTGCTTTTGGTTTACTGTGACCTGGTGTTGCAGGCTTAGCCTCCCTCCTCTCCCCCGCAAAACACTTGAATGGCTGGCCAAAAACTCGATATGGATTGTGTATATTTCATGCTTTATTTCATTGTAGTGTGAGAGTGCTTGTTTTATTATGCTGTTCCCCCAACTAAGGATTCTTACTTCCTGTCTCTATAGAATAACTATGAACTATAGAAGACAAGACTTGAATGGTGGTGTTTACATACCTAAGTGCGCCAGTCTTTAATTTTCCCCACCGAACCGTGCGCCCTGTTGGGAACTTAAAGGATTGCCGCATTTGTATCAGTACTTAATTGCTGTGTTTGTTTATGACGTAGCTAGTTTGTTTTGATCATAATCTGAAGTTAAAGGGAAGGGGGATACGTCACAAATATTGTGATTCGATTACGCAGCGTAACAATTTTTTCCAGAGTTGCGTATATTGGTCGGAAAAAGGACAGTGAAAAGGGTGACACGCACATTTCAGTCAGCCTTCCGTATTTCGAAGAAAAAAAATAGAAGTAGGCTTATGCGATCACCATGCTGTCTGTGTATCCTCCCCAATTACATTTTGAATGCCAGAACCAATCTTTACGAAACTTGATATGTATATCATGGCACCTGACCCCATATCAGCGGTGTACTTCGTAAATCCCCCGCATCAGTCTGTGTGTCTGTATGTGTGTACCTCCTGTCGTTGCTAGGCAGATGCTCTGTAATGGGTATACATTTTCATTTTTAGGCAGCGGTTCGGTAAACACGTTCCCGCGGAAAGGAATATGCTGAGAAATAGAATTGTTGTACATGTCATTTTCTGTGAGGTCCGTATCTTATAAAAAAAAGAGAAGAGATTGTGAGGCTGTGTATCCCCGTATCGTTGCTAGGTAACAATTCCGTAAAGACGTTCCCGCGGCTACGAAGGATTGTTGGAGGTATCATTTTCTATGCGATCCGTGTTGTATCAAAGGAAAGTAGGCCGTTACTTCTTCACGGTACTTCCTGCTATTTATAGCAAAGAATAGATGTGTATTTCTTCCTCGCGTCACACGTCATCGCCCCCTGACGTGTTGTCCGCCAAGTCACTCTTCCTGCTTTTACTTCAAGAACACGCGCAGTGACGCATGTCATGTTCGTCTTTGTATGACATTCGGGGGGGGGGAGCTTATCGAATATACTTCATTGTCGCCATCTGGTTGATAGGCGCAGCACTTTAAATGATAATGCCAAAGCCTTCGCTATTTTTCTCCTGCTGTGCAAGCTGTGGTAAAACCTAAAGTTGTCCCTGTGCTTAACTAATTAAGCACTACTACATGGAGACGTATGGAGGGAGTGGATGTATAGATTACGTTTTCTTGACCTCGGTAGTAGTTGGAGGTGAGTGGTCAGCTTCACGCCCCGGAAAATTTACCTCCGAGGAAAGAGCTCCCTCCGGTACCCATTGGCTAGGAGGCTGTGTGGGCTCCAGAACCGGTCTGGACGATGTGGAAAAGAGGAAATTCTTGACCTTACCGGGGCTCGAATTCCGACCTCTCGGTTGTCCATCCCTTAGCCAGTCTCTATACCGACGGAGCTATTCAGGGTTAAGGAGGGGTAATTGTGCTAAGCTTCTAGGAACTGAGAGGAATTGATGTATTTATTTAGTTCTATAGTTATAAATGTTCTTTGATGGCTTATTTATTTAACGATGCCGTAACAGAATTGGCACACCCGTTTCGAGACGGGAAGTTCGGTGAGGTTACTTTTTCTCCCCACAGTGCGAATGATACCGTCAGTGCAGTAGATAAAATAATCTCTCTTAATTACCCTTACATGACGTCACTGCATAGAGCCACAGAGATGATAACAGGACTGCAGTACTTTCCATTATTCATCGTCAAATACAGCCTACTTGCTTTGAGATTCTTACTGTGAAGAGTGGGGCGCTGTGTTACAGGCCGGAAGGTCGCGGGTTCGAATCTCGATGAGGTTATTGATTTTTTTTTTCAGTTGACTTAGTCCAGCCTTTTGAATAGACTCAGTCTGTAACAAATGAGTACCATGAATCTTCTTGGGGTAAAGGGCGTCCGGCGCGTAAGGCTGACAGCGTCACCGTCATCTGTGAGCCGATTATCCAGAAGATGTTTGAGGCTCAACGTCTCACTACCCTATGTGCCTGCAAGGCCAGTTACTGGGACAGATTTACCTTTTTATACCTTTTGTTGTGAAGAGTAGCTTCGTCTAAGCTTAACTCCGTGTTTTTCGGAAGGAATCCGACGTTTCGGAGGAACACATTGCCTCCATCATCCAAGCAAGAAACCGACAGAAGCATAAGCATTCCCGCAGCGGTAGCTATGAAGAGTACTATCATCTGGAATGTGACGTAACCCGATATGAGTTGGCCGACGTTTCGGAGGAACCGGTTGGCTCCATCGTCCAAGAGAAATCCGGCAGAAGCAGACGGCACTCGCAGCGGTGACTGTCTTTTGGAATGTGAAGTACTCCGGTATGAGTTGGCGGACGTTTCGGAGGAACGTACTGCCTTCATCTTAAGGGTGGAAGATGCGTTAAGCAAGCGGAGCCCAGCTCCTTGCTAGCCCACATGTTGAATCATGAGCATGGAGGCGTTACGAAACGTCGGAAAACTTATAGCAAACGACACTACGTCACGTCCCATCTACATTATCACTGGCGTGAGAACGTCTAAACCAATATACACGGGGTGTAGGAAACGTAATTTCATGGTTTCGGGAGGCTCTGGCTCCAAACACAACAGAGCATCACATTGGATCTTGTACCTTTACATTCATCCAAACAGTTTCACGAGTGGCCACCAGCAAGATGGCACACCCCCGCATTTCACAAGACTTGTTCTTGAAGTCCGCCGATCACGGTGGCCGCACAGTCGAAGGCGTGAATTGTCTTCGCCCACTAGAATGTTGGAGTCGTGGGTTTGAATGCCACTTGAGGCATTGATGTCTGTG